AGAGGCTGAAGCTTTCATCAGATTGCTGATCACAAAGGTCTGGTAACCTCTGGCCAGTTCTAGCTGTGATATAGATTTATGGAACAGAGGTCTCAGGGCATGGCTGGTGGCTCCCCTTGGGTGGACTCTGACACAGGAGCTCCAGGGAGAGCAGTGTGCATTGTACCACTGGGCTTGAGCTGGCACAGAGGGATGGGGGCCCTGAAGTCACAGGTCTAAACCCAGTGACCCTGGGCAGACTGGATAAGGCTTCAGGGTCAAGACTCTGAGTAGACATACCAGCTCCATGACTTACCAGCTGTGTCCCCTTGATCTAATCATTTACCTCTCTGTGCCTCACTTTTATCATCTGTAAAATGGGGATGATTATAAAATCTATCTCCTGAGGTCATAGTGTAGATTAAATGAGATGATGTAGATAAAATACAACACCTAGCACGTAGCAAACACTCAGGCAACGTGAGTCTTTAGAAGGATCTGTTTCTGGTGGAAGCCTCTGGAATGTCACCCTGGGGCTTCCCCTCAGTCACTGGCTGCTTTAGTCCTGTTGGCAGTGTTCCTTCAGACTAAGTGAGTAGATATTTTATTGCCAATTTGCCATTTGGAATTTTTAAAAGAAAACATATAATAACTAGTATTTGCCTCTTCTCTCAAACCTAAATCCCTATGCTGATCAGATGCTGTAGGTTTTCTTCAAGTTTTTAGACCTGGTTTCCACCACAGGCTACTGAAATTCCCATATGCCCATGTCTCCTAAGGCTCCAGTTTAAGACTATACTGTGTGGCCACAGCAGGATGCCCAATGGAGCAGAGAGAATTACTAGTCCCCACTGAGTGGTCTCAGAGCCAGAGAAGAGCAGGGGCCCTCCAGGTCATCTGGGGTCCCTTTGCCTTTGGGACAAAAGTCACATCCCCTACGTTAGATTGCATCCCGGAGTGGGACTAAGGGATTTCATGGGAGAGACGAAGGTGCTGGGGCTGAGCATTTGATTGGTAAAGTGAGGTACTGGCACCTTACAGAGGGAGAGAAAGCATGTTCTGAGCCTCAAGATGGCTAACTAGGATTTGTCCTCCCTTTCAGCTATCCAAATTAAGTGTGCAAGTAATTAAGTCACGCCAGCACATGTTGCTCTCAGGTGATTATGAGACCCTCGAAACTACCCAGGTTGCCTTTGGGAGGAGAGGAGCCAGAGTGTCCCTCTTTCTCGGCTCTTCTTTCCTCCCTCTAATGGGATATTGGGCTCCACACGTTGAGATTTTGAAAAACTTAGCACCCAAAAGACGTTCAAGCTTGATGAATATAAGCCTATTTCCTGGACACTCGTCCCAAGGATCTGCGTAAAAAGTGAATCTGCTCCCTCCCCCTGAGGGGAGTTGGGATCTGCTCCAGGATAATGGAGGGGTGGCCGGGGGCTCTTCTTGTCCTTCACCAAAAGCAGTTTCCTGTCCTCTTGGTCTTGCCGCCCGCAGCTGGCTCTGACCCGCTGGGGCAGTAGCTCAGGGCTGGAGCCGCTGAGGATGCAGCCCTCCCTGCTGCGCAGCAAGATGGGCCGCGCTGGCCACGTCTCCTTGGACAAAGCAGAAATAAATCACACACCAGCCTCTGCTTAAGATCTGATGAAATTCTCCATTTCCGCTCCAAATTGAATTCCTCCCAGAGGATTGGAGCGGCTCCTGAGAGTAATGAAGGCACTCCTTCCTCCTCTGCTGGAAGCATGTTTTAAATTAACGGACACAGCCTTCTAATCTGGATGGGGAGGTAGCTTTTAGGAACAGTCTTGAGAAACTGTTTTCAGACCAGAAATGATATTTTTAATCTTGAGGGGCAGGGTGGCAGACATATGATACCACGTGGCCTTTGTCGGGAGGCAGCCCTGCTGGTGGTCTCCTGGGAAACAATGAGAACACGTGTCCTGCTGTCCCTCTGCCCGCCCCCCTGCGCTGCCCTGCTGGCCTCCTAGACCCCTTGTAGCAAAAGAGAACTGAAGTTTTTTGAGAGCTGAAAATACTACTTTCCTGCCCATCTCTTCTCTGAGAAAAATGATCAATTCTGTGATTTAAAAAAATTTTTTTTTGCTTTAGGATGAAGATGTCATTGAGGTGATTATCCTCTGTCCTCTGTAATGATGATGAGTAGACAATTTGGCGTTTGTAGAGGCAGTTGTCCCAGGCCCTTTCAGGGGCGGGGGGAAGAAAAAAGAAACCCCGTTTTCAAATGGGTCTTGTCAGAGTGAAGACTGATGACCTGCTGGCTGATTGGGACCATGAATAAGATTCTGAGAAGTCAGAATATGTGAGGAGCCCAGGGGTGAAACCTGTCAGGCAAGGTTAAGGTAGACGGAAATTCTGAACAGCCATTCTGTTTGGAAGGCGGGCATGAAGCATGATGATCTGTTGGTAGAGGAATATTTAATATTCCTCCTTGAAGTGAGTTTAAGAGCAGGATACCCTTCCTCATTCGCTGTTGGAAAAAAGCAGTTGAAAAATTCTACTTGGCATGAGAAATCCTGACATTTAGGTTCAAAAGGAGAGGAGGAAATTCTCCTTGAAAGAAAATTCTATTGGTTGTTTTATGTCAGAATTTTGTTTGCAACCCTTGAGAAAGGTTATCAAAATCTCACTCTATGTTTTTAATTTGGTTTAAGAAAGAAGCTATTTCCTTCATAGGGAGATATGATCCCAGGGTAGCCCACAGGTAAAAGCCAGCTTTAGATGGCAACCTCTGCTGCAGGAGGGTATGGGGTCTGGTTCTCGACTGGAAAATTGCTTTTCAGGGAGAAGGTCATGTTTTCCACTGATAACAGGGTCATTTATATCAAGTAAAACGCCCATCCTTCCGATTCCAGAGGAAGTTTAAGCTTTGCAGCCTTTCTCAGAGGACAGTAGGAAATACACTTCTCCGTGGTTAGGAGGAAAGGATTGAGGATGGACAGTGGGAATTTAGGCACAATTCCAGCAATGCCAGGGTCTGTCCTGAGCCCATCCAAGGCCAGGCTGGTGTCTCCAAAGTACTGGCAGGTGGAGAAGGAGTTCTGCTGAGACAACAAAGGCTGTTGAAGGGGAAAAAATTACAGGGCAGGAGAACGAAGTGCCACCCCCACACGGCTGCTTTTGTGCATTCCATCAGGCCCTCGCAGACAGCCTTTGATATTTGCATAAACGGGGCCGGGCCGGATTCCACACTGGGACAAAGCAGCAAGCGGCGCGGTGGACAGGGCAGGCGTTTTCTTCATGGGTTGCTGCGATTTCATTTCGCAGTTGTCAGCTTGTGTCCCCTTCCTGGGCCGAGGGAACAGCCCCGCTGTCTCTGTAACCACGCATGCACTGTCTGGGTCTCTGGACGGCAGACCTTTCCAATGCAGGCTTGTCTTTGAGCCTGTTTACAAAGCCTGAAGTTACTTCTGTTTTGTTTTAGCCAAAAGGGTGAAGTGCTGCCAGCAGAATGTCTGGAATGTTATTTACTTGGTACATTTCTGTGGCTTTTCTTTGTAGCGCTGCACATGCCAGAGCAAAGGGTCATTTACTTGAAAATGCCAGGTTTCGCAGTTTGTCTTCTCCATGGGGTGACTCTCTCAGTAAGAGGACATTTAGCTCCTGTGCCTCTCGGGTCCCTCCCTTCCTCCCTCCTTCCCTCCCTTCCTGCCTTCCTTCCTTCCTTTTTTTTTTTTTAAGTTAGTGTCTGAACTACGGTTGGTGCCAGCTGTGTTGCACCCCTGTGTCCTAAATGCCCCAGCGACACTTTTAATTCCTGGGTTTTCTGGTAAGCTCCGCCGAGAGCCTAGCAGACACTGTCTCATTTGCGTGCCTGCCCTGTTCTTATTTCACATGAAAGCTGTCTGCTTTGGCATGCACGGCTCCCGTGATTTCACTTGAGCTCTCGGAGCTGAATGGGCCTTGTTGTGCAAAGGAAATACAGGTGGGGTTTTCTCTACTGGTGGCTGTGGTGGCGGACAAGGCTGCAAGCAGTCCTGACTTGTACAGAGCCCACACGGTGGGAAACGAAGGGCTTTTGAAGGAAGGAACCAGTGTATACAGTTTCTTAATTTGGAAGCTTTCACACTGCCTTTGTTCAACTGATGGAGGAGAGATTTTTTTTTTTTTAAGAGCAAATTCTCATTCATAAGACTGTAAACACGTCCTGGATAAATGAGAAATACCGAAGGTGGAAGCACAGGAGATGTTCCATTTGCCTCTTCGCTCATCAACCTCCCTTCCTCCCATTTCATAAATGCAATTCTAATCATGGTATTTGGGGTTTTAAAACAGGGTATGGAAAATGAGATTAGCTAAATCTCCCTGGCTGGTGCCAGCCCTGAGACCATGTGCACACCTGGGAGGGTTAACTCTCTTCTCTCTCTCTCTGCTAATTTTGTGTCATGTGAACGTGTAAGCATCCACAGATAGCAGAGGATGCCTTTGGAAATCTGTGCCTTCAGGGGCTCAGCCTTCATCAGAGTCTCTTGGATACCTCACCCATCCACTTCCCCTGTGAGTCTGTCCCCTCTGTAGCCAGCCCCAGTCTGAAATAGAACGTGTTGGGCTCCATTCTTCTCGGCTTCTCCGGTCCTTCTGCGTGACTTCTCACTTTGTTTGTCAGCTGCTCGGATTTTTGGCTGAAGGGTCTTCTTTGATCACTGTCCTGACAGCATGGGCTTCACATTCTCACACCTGCTCTTCTTTTACAGCCCAGATTGCCGAGTAAATGCTTCCATTGCCTTGTAATTTCTCCAGCGTAAAACCTTGGTGCAGGTTACTTATTACAGGTAATAGCTGTTTGATGACGGGGACAACTGCTTGGCAGAAACGGCAGCTTGAACCACTGCCAGAAACGTAAACTGCCACTTTATTTCTAGAAGCGTCTAAGCTGCAAGCCTGCCGGTCATGATCTAGCATGCACGCAGTAATAACAGGCTCCCCGGGCTGAGAAAGCCGCCCCAGGGGGCAGCCACGAGGATGGGTCCTAACAAGACTCCGTGTGTTTTCTCCCCCATTATCCACAGCCCACACATCATCTTCCTCTCTCAGAGCACCTTGCCTGGAAGGAGCCATCTCTGTGGGACGCGTCTCTGCCATGAGATTGCTCACGCCTGGTTTGGCCTGGCTCTCGGGGCCCGTGACTGGACGGAGGAGTGGCTGAGTGAAGGGTTCGCCACTCACTTGGAAGATGTGTTCTGGGCCAGAGCACAGCAGGTAGGTTCAAAGTGCTCTAAGCATTTCCCTACCCAGAGCCAAGTTCTGCTCAAAGTCCTTTGTTCATTCAACAGTTATGTTTTGAGAGTGTTCATTGTGCACCAGGCACCATTCTGTTTGCTGGGGAGAGAGCTGTATAAATGAGAGGGAAGTCTGACCTCCCCGTGTGGTTCAGGATCGAGGGATGAGAGAGAGCACAGACAAACAAGTGCATCTGTAACATGGCAGGTGGGGATGAGTGCCATCAAGAAAATGAAGCCAGACAGAGAGAGGTGGGGGAAGTGCTGTTTTAGGTGCTAGGGGAAGGCCTCTCTGGTAGGGGGACATTTGAGCAGAGACTTGAAGAAAAGGTCTCACTGTGACATACTCGGGCACTCCTTTGTGGTTATGGTAGTGGTGATGTGGACTCTCTTTTGTTCTGTTAAATCATGAGATTAAATTTTAAATCAAGACTCATGATTTCAGATGTCTGCTGGCCAAAAATGAAGAGGGAAGCAGTTGGTGGTATAGACTAGGGAATGGTGAGGACTGTGGCCAACCAGCAGCTCTAACCAATTGCTGTCATGTTGAAACGAGGGCTCAATACACCTGAGACTTCTAGTTTTTTAAAGGAAGTTAAAATCTGGGCTTTTATGGGAAATTTACTAATTTCAAAAACATGCCAACCAGACATATGTAGAGGCCAGACCTGGTCAACACTCCCCCCAGTTTACAACCTGTACTTGAAAGAACTGGTCACCAGTCCTAATGAAGATGTGGCCGCTAACCTGCTTCCTGCTGATTTTCCAGGGTCTAACATTTGATCACCTCTTTTCCCTGCATTCCCACCCCTTACACACTGGACTGTTTCCCATTTTGTGAAATTCCTAAGTTTGTGCATATTTGCATGATTTTGTTCAAGTTCCTTCTGCCTGTTGAAATCCTGTTTATTTTTCACTCACCAGCTCAGATCACCTCACTCACAATTCAATGCTACTCTGCTAGAAACGTTGAACTCCCACAGTAATTGGTACTTCCTCACCTTTTTTTTTTTCTCACATTTTTCTTCTTCTTTCTATCCTCACGACTGGGCTGTAACCTCTTTCAAAGTGGAACTGTGTCTTACTCATCCTCCCGCCCACTCTGCATCTTGGCTGCAGACTTTACAGCATGTTTATCTGTGTTCCCCTCCACACAGAGTTCTGTGAAGAGAGACCACGTGGCAGATTTGGAAGAGGGGGCTGGGTTTGGAGTCGGACCAGGCTCGGAATCCCAACTTTGCTGTTTACCAGCTTTCTGAGTGTCATGTCAGTAGGTTATGTAGCCTCCCTGAGCCTCAGTTTCCTCATTTATTAAATGGGCATAGGAATGCATAGCCTTGTGGGGTGAACAGGATAATCAGTGCCTGACACATGGAGTACAGGGAATACCAGTTCCCCTTTCCTGTTCTCTTCCTCTTTGTATTTGCCATCACCTTGCACATAGTAGGTGTGCATTCATCCAGGATTAATTAGGTTTAATATAAATGTGCCTCTCTCACCATCCCTTCCCTGAGGTGCTTCCATCCTGAGACAATAAGATTTGTGTTATTCTTTGTAATCTCGAGTGTATGTCAGGCATCTGATGACCATCTCTGCCCTTTATCTCCTGCATCCGCAAAGTACTCCTCCTTTACCCTTCCCCCTGCCTGTACCTCCTGGAGTCTTTTTGCTCGGGTCCTGCCTCTAGCTGCCCTGAATACATCCATCTCCACCGACAGAGGCAAGAAGCTGGCCTGGCTGCATCTCATAGCTGCACACTTTCCATGTGTCCATTCTGCACTAAATCTGTAAGGATAAAAGGATAAGACCACAGCCCTGCTCTGAAAGAGGTCAGAGTCTAATTTGAAGCTAAGGAAAGCACACAGGGGAAGGAAGAAGAAAATAAATTAGAAAAGAGAGGTAAACACCAAATATTTTGGGAGTTCAAAAGTGGAGGAGGCTGGGTCTGGGAAAATCCAGAAAGCCTTCTTGGAGGAGGTGACTTCCTGTGGGCCTCAAAGGGAAGGTAGGAGTTGAAGTTTCTCTATCCCTCCTTTTCCCTTAACCTGGCATAGGGAGCAACTCATGTCATCCTCCTTTAAGATACGTGCAGTAAGTCTTCAATATGTGAACACATGGACACCCCTGAAACTAAGTGGCCATTCTAGAAGCAGTGCAAAGTTTGGAAACATTTCCAGCATACATCCATTGCTCTGGCCCCTTCCTTGAAGGTTGAGTGAGACTGAGCTGCTGGTGGTCCCTGACAGGTGTCCAGAGCAGACCTTCCAAGTAGGAGTGGGGTGCTTCTTGGGGCACGAAAGGGTGGGCTGTCTCAGAGGACTCCCAGGCAACAGCTCACTCCATCCCTGAACATCCATCACTGAACAGGGCGTGAGGCCACATGTGTCGCTTTGCTGCCCGGAGACTGCACCCTGCAGCACCGACATTAGCAAGTACAGCAAAGGGGAGTGGGGAGTCTTTGAACAAGGAGCTAGAAACCCGAATTCCTCTCAGAGTGACATTCCGCAGGGAGAAGTGAATGATTTAGCTGCAAAATTGAATTGTATAACTTGTCATCGACTTGGATAAAGTCAACCCCTTCGCCGGTGTCTTAGTCAGCTTGGGCTGCCATAACAAAATACCACCGACTGGGAGACTTAAACAACAGAAACTTGTTTTCCTTACAGTTTGGGAGTCTGGAAGTCCAAGATCAAGGTGCTGACAGGCCGGGTTTCTGGCGAGGCCGCTCTCCCCTGGCGTGGTGAGGGCCGTCTCCTCAGTGTGTCCTCACGTGGCCTTTCTCAGTGCACGAGGGGAGGGACTCTGAGTGTCTCCTCCTCTTCTGATAAAGACACCAGCCTTACCGGATTAAGGCCCCACCCTTTTGACCTCATTTAACCTTCATTACCTCCTTAAAGGCCCTGTCGCCAAATGTAGTCACATTGGGGTTTAGGGCTTCCCCGTGGGATTTCTGTTGGGGGACACGCTTCAGACTGTAACAGGGCCCTCAGAGTTTGTTGACCTGGCCCCTACTGGCTACATGGCACCCCTGGCCCTCCCTGGATGGCAGCCTGCTCCTCGCCTGACATGTCCCTCACCGTTCTCTGCACATTTCACTATCTTTCCAGGCCCCATGAGCCTTGTACATGCCTTTCCCTCTTTCCGAAATTTCTCCTCCCCTGGCCGACTCCTGCTTTCCCTGGGGACCAGTTCGGACCCCATTACCTCCTAGGAAAGCCTTCTGACCACCCTGATTGGCCAGGAGGCATCTGGATTCTTCCTCAACCCCTACCATCACCGCCTTCTGGTGATCAGTGTTCTTACCTGTCTCCCCGGACTCCTTAGGCTAGGAGCTGTGTCCATCCTGTCCCCAGCGCCTAGCAGAATCAGTAAATATCTGTTGAGTGAACTATTAGGGATCTTTAATTTCCAGAAACAGAAGTCAGTGCAGACATTGACTTTTCCCTCACAGAGATTCTAGCCCTGGGGCCTCGTGAGCACACCGAGTGACAGCAGCCTGTTCTGAGCAGCAGGGCAGGGTGTGATGGCCTTCCCCCTCCCCGAGAGTGAGTCCAGCCAGGGGCTCTTTCTGCTTGTATGCAAACAAAGTCATCTGGGTTACATTAGCAGGCTCTACTGTAAACAGCCCTTAACAAAACTGGGGCTGGGAAAAATAGGAGGTGAATGGAGGGGACCTTTCCCACCCTGTGCAGAAAGACAAAGCAGGAAAGGGCTGGATGGAATCGGAGTAGAAACAGCCCCTAGGGGAAGCCTGCTCTCTCCAGGCCAGGGGTGGGGGTGAGGGTGGGGGAGGCTCCGGGGCCAAGGAGCACCTCCCAAACAGGCAGCGCGGGAGTGAGCACTGGTCCTTGGCCTGAGGACCTTAGAAGCCCTTTTGGCCTTCGACTTTTCTGATGGGGCACGAGCACAGCAGGGGACCATCTGTGCCCACCCCTGGCACACAGCCAGCCCGTGGGCGGCTCCTACTCTGCACGAGGACAACGGTGACTGTGTTTTGTGTATATGTGTTTGTGTGTCTGTGGTCCGAGCAGCTGGCCCCCCACGAGGCCCAGGAGCAGCAGGAGCTGAGGGCCGGCCTGCGCTGGCGTCGCCTGCAGGACGAGGTGCAGAACTCCCCGCAGGAGATGCAGGTGTTGAGGTAAAGCGCCGCGTGATCCGTTACCTTCCGTCCTCCCTCTCACGCTCCTCCTTTCCTTCAAGGCGCATCCAGGCCTCCTCTGGCATCTGCCGTGTTTCCTTTTTAAATTAAACTGGGCTGGATTACTCATCCTCCCAAGGATGTGATTGTTAGGTTTTAAGTCTTCCAGGGTGTGGGTTTGGATTTGCCTTCTGACATTTTCCTGGTGTTTCTGTGCAGGGAAAAAAAAACTAGCACAAGGCCATTTTGGGGACCAAATTCTTCATCTGAAGTTCTAATAGTCATTTTATGTGGTGGACACAAACTTGGAGAAGGTTGGGGCCTGGTAGCCTGGCAGACAGTAACCCTTTACAACCAAAAGGAAAAAAAAAAACCTTAAGGAAAATATTGATTTCTAAGTGTTTAGTAGTAACAGATGTTTGTGTCAGTGGGGCCTTTTGTTCCAGATACGTCCCCGCAGGAGGCCACGCCTGTGCCGGGGGAGGACTCTACCCTCAGCTCCTGTGTTTTATTTTCAGAGTGTGTCTTGCAGCTCTTGTAGAATAACTTCTGGCCATTTTCCCATTTTTTGGGTCCCTCTCTGTTTGCTCGTTTTCTTCACTTCTCTAAATAGTTGTTTATCAGAAACCTGGAACCTCGGCCCCAGGAGCCCTGTGGTTGCTATGGCAACAGAAGCTTTCACCCTGCCCCCTCTTGCTTAGAGCCAAGCCTTTGGAATCCGCAGTCAGACAGGTGGGAAGGCGGCCATCCAGGAAACACCCCTCATTTTAGATGGCAGCCCTGAAGGCCAGTCTACCTCCTGGGCAGAAGCCTGCCTGGACCGGTTCTGTTGTTGCTGTTTGTTTTCAAATGAGCACTCTGCTCGGCAGGGACTGCCCACTGAGGGAAATGCCAAGCCCACCCTGACCCCTGGGAGGCAGCCTGGGGGCCTGGGGTGTGGCCCCTCTTCCCACGGAGAAGTCCCTCCTTGCAGGCTAACCGCTGCCATCCGTCTGCTGACTCATCCATTGTCTGGGAGAGCCAGAACCCCAACCCTGCATCCCCTCACTCAGTCAGTGGGACGGCTACGCCCCCGGCCGACGCGGGCAGGGTCCTTGCTTTCACGGAATTTCCACTTAGCGAGGACCCTCTTGTGTGCCTACCTAGTTACAGGTGGTGAGCAGTGGCTGAAGGGAACGCAGAGATTTATAGTAAGGAGGTTGGGGAATGCCTCTCTAAGGAGCACGAAGGCCTTGAGGCAGGAAGGGGCTTGGCATGCTGGTGCTTGAGGGACAGAAAGGAGGGCAGGTGGTTGGAAGGGCGAGGAGAGGCAGGCAGGAGCCAGGTCCCCCAGCCTTAGCCCAAGTGTGATGGAAGCTGCCGCAGAGCCTTCAGTCGGGCAGGATCATGATCTGTCATGTGGTTTTACTGCGCTGCCCTGGCTGCTGTGTGGGATGGACTGCAGGCAACAGACCAAAAAGCAAGGAGAAGGGTTAGAACATTGCAGTCGTCCAGCTGTAGAGGTCCTGCTGGCGGCAGGGCAGGCACAAGACGCAGACCTGGTTAAGACATGTTTGGGTAGTGGAACTGGCAGGGCTTTGGTCTGCTGACTGTGAAGAAGAGGAGAATGAAAGTGTCCAGAACAACTTCTAGGCTTTTGACTTGAGCAGCTGGGTAGGCAGATGGTGATGCCATTTGGTGACATGGTGAAGACGTTGGGAGGAAGCTGGCCTTGGAGGAAAGAAGAAAGATTCCAGTTTTGCATGGGTTAATCTCTATGTGCCAAATAGATATTGGCTATTGAGAACTCAGTGGGGTTTACAAGTCAGGAGCCCATTGGAGAGACTGGAACATTCAGCCTATGAAAACTTGAAATTCTGAGCACCTTGAGATGGCCAGGCAGAGAGAAAGTGAGAGAAGAGGTTGGGAGGAAGATGAGGAGCCAGCAGAGGATCTAGGGGAATCAGTGTAGAGAAAACCCAGACGTCAGGAGTCATCGGAGTCAGGAAAAAAGTAAATCAAGAAGGTGGAAGTGGGGTGTTGGATGCTGCTGAGGGGGTGTGTCAAAGGGAGGGAGAGAAATGACCTTGGGGTTGGACCATGTGCAAGATGGAGCAGAGACACTGAGTGTGGTGGACTTTGTGAGAGAAGTTGTGCGGGAAGGGGAGGTAGACGAGGGTCAGAGAGGCTTGTTTTAGGGCGGCTGCTGCGGGAGCCAGCTCACGTGTGAGCTATGTAAGTAAGCCCATCCTGTCAGTTCTCAAGACTCAGTTTTTCCATTCTCCAAGTCTCCAGGTCCCTCTGATGCCTCCCGTTCTGTGTGACCACAGCCCTTGATTGAGGGTAAGGGCATTATAATTAACATTAGTGTGTGAGCAGTCAGATGGACACTGGGAAGTCAGTACACATGTGAGGAGAGCCTTACCTCTGCACTTGGTGGTGCTGCGATCAACCCAGCTTCTGATGTCCAAGAGCATTTCCTTTGTGTGTGGAGCTGGGAGAAGGAATACACTATTTTTAGATCTTTGTGCAAGAAGGCTTATTATGGCATTTGTTTTTCTTTTTCTTAGTATTCAGAAATTGTGTTTGCCTAAATTTAGGCTAACCATGAAATGACTGCATTTGAAAGATTTGCTGTACATCAGTATGGAAAATATTGTTATCAGATGCACTTACAGTGAAGAGGAAATGTTTCTGAACCTGCCCCAAATTACAGAGGCTACATTTAGTTTACTCCCATCCCTTAGAATTCTCCCTTAAATGGGCACAGAGAACCTAGAAATTACCGAGAGTGGAAGGAAGAACCAGAGTTGTCAAAATTTGTCCTCAGGTTTTTGTTTTAATATACAAGTAAGACCTTGGGCAAGAAGTCTTTTAAAACAATACAGTAATCAAAGATGCTGTTTTTTTTTTTTTTTGCTTTGTTTATTTACTGGAGGTGCTGAGGATTGAACCCAGGACCTCGTGTATGCGAGGCATGCACTCTATCACTGAGTTATACCCTCCCCCTCTTCTTTCTTTTAAGATACCCCATGGTCTTGAAATGATGGGCCAAGAACAATATAGAAGTCTTGGTTTCACGTTGCCAGATGCAGTGGAAACTTCTCCTACCCATCTCTGCAGCAACTTTCAATATGGTTGACCACTCCTCTTTCTAGAAACACCTTCTTCCCTTGGCTTCTGTGTGTCACACTCCCCTTGACGTCCTTCTGCCTTACTGCCAGTCCTTCCCCACCTCTCCTGCTGGCTATTTAACGTCTTCGCTTATGACTCACGGCTCTGAAAGACTGGTTAAGGTGTCCAATGTCATACAGCCAATAAAGAGCAGAGTCGTGGTTGAAACAATCCTCTTTTCCCTATGCCATCTCCCTGCCTCCAAAGAACTTGGTACAGAGTTTAGTTGCGTTAAAACAAAACAAAACAAAACAACTCCAGGTTTCTTCAGGACAGGAAGGTCACAGTGAAAAAAGTACCCTTGGACCAAGCTTCTCTGTCTTTTTACACATGAGAGTGTGTGTCTGATTATTTCAGTCAATATTGGGAAAAGGAGAATTCAGTATTGTGTTGATTATAGATACTGGATGAATATTAACCAAGTGAAAAGAGAAAAACTAGACTTACATTTGTCTCTGACTTGCTAATTTCAGTAATTTTTAAGAGTTATTCTCCATCTGTGCCTTGTGCCTTCCGCCTTCCTGATATCCAGTGTTGAGTCTTGGCTCTTGTCAAACGTGCCTTAAATTGACCTGGTTGTCAGTTTCCTTTGGTGACAACAGTTCCTTGTGTTTTCCTAGCCTTCTCAGCCTTCACTGGCTGCGAAGCCTGTCACGAGGCATGGTTTCAAGATCCTAGGGTCACATTAATGCCTCCATGCCTGTTCTCACTTGTTAATGATTAAAATGCCTTTCCTGCAGATGAGACCCCAGTGGCTCTCTCCAGACTCTCCCTCACCTCTGCACCAGCCCTGGGCAGAGCTGTTTGCCGGGCAGAGCCTGATCTCACTGCTGCTCCACTCAGCCCTGCCTGGCCGCCACCACTTCGCTGTCTCCTATCCATCCCCACGACTGCCCGCCTAAACACTGCCCCCTCGTCGGTGCAGCAGTCATGACTCCTGACAAGGAAGATGCAAGGGGCCTTTGAGCGGCTCCCATGCCTTTGGTCTCTCGGGTGTAGCTGGATCCGGCATCTTCTCTCTAAGTGCTTCTAGTTAGCAGATCCTGACAGGCCCGGGGATGGAAGAGCTATGGTGGCGGGGTCAGAAGAAATCTCTGTTGGATTTTATTGTTTGTGATTTATTATCACTTCCCCCTTTTTCTGGCTTCACTGTTAAAGTCAAGCTCGTGCTGAGAAAAACGTTAAAATATATCATGTTGAGGAGGCGCTGACAAGCCCGGATTCTGATGCGGCTCTTTCTAGCCGCTGCCTCCACAGTTGATACGGTTCTAGAGAAACGCAGACTGTCTTCCTATCTACCTCACCCCCGCCCACAAAGACATCCCACAGCGATAGGGGAAGACACCCACGTATGTAAGCGCCTCTGTCTGTACCCAGAATGAACATGCATGCCGTGAGTCCTGTGGGCTTGCGGGATGCCCGCGCTCTGCGTGTTCCACGTAAGCACTGAGACTTCTTTCCATTGAAAGTCTGTGTGTAAACCTTCTCTAGTATGCACGAAGTTTTCACCTTTAAAGTCTTTCTCAAAATTTGTATTTCTGATCCTTGAAGAACATAGCAGTCTTTTCCCGCCCACATGTAGGAACGTTGCTATTCGCAGCCACACAAGCCTGCCTCATGGTAAAGCTCCAGCCCCGGAGTTCAGTCCTCTCCGCTGCTCCTTCGTCCTGGGCCTGAACTCTGCCCAGAATTCTTCTTCAATCTCTGCTGGCCCCGCAGGCCATGAAGAAATCCTTCCACTCCTCCTTGGGCGGCTCCCTTTTCCGCTGCCTTCCCTCGCCTCCTGCCCCACAGGGAAAACTGAGGCCATCAGCCTGTTCTCCCTTTGCTTCTAGAAGCACATCCACGTCCACGTCTCCCCTGGCCTCTCAGATGCCTGAGTGCCAACCTGTCAGTCTTAACACAGCTCCAGACAAATTTCTGGTTCCAGGAACAGAACTAGGAATAAGTGTGTCTTGATGCAGATCGTAGAGCTATATATACGAGTGAGCTTTAAAACCCTCTGCCGTCCAGGAGGAAGGGAAGGCGGAGTGTCTGTACGCCCAGGGAGGATGATGCGCTCATGACTTTGGACATAAACTGGGGCCACCAGTCTAGGGAAACTCTTTGCTAAGGTCATTGTGCTCTTTTGATCTCCAGATTTTGTTAACATGTTTCAAGTCTCACGTTTATTGGGCTCCTCTGCTTTGTTTAGTACTGTTGATAACTTCCCTTCTGTAAATTTCCATCACCTAACTTTCATGGCAACCCCTCTTCTGGTTCTTCTTGTCCCCTTCTGCAGTCCCTCCTCCAGCTCCTTCACAGTCTCCTCTTCATCTTCCTGCTCTCAGAGTTGGTGTTCCCCTGGGGGCTCCCTCTCAGCTGCACATCCTCCTGGGGTGGTCTCATCTCAGCACCCTGTCTTAGGTGGGGTTCCCCAGAGGCAGACAAAATTCATGTGAAAGAGATCTGTTGGGAGGAGCTCCCAGGAGGAGAGAGTGGACGGCCAAGCCGTGATACCAAGTTGAGTGACACAGGATCGTTCTGGAGGTGGGGTGGGTCAGCCTCGGAGTTGTCCTCCTCAGGGGCAAGGGGCCCAGAGTGTGTGTATCCCTGCGCTGGCTTCATTGCTTGGAGAGACGTACATTCTAGGTTCCTCTGGTTCTTGCGTTCACAGGCAAAACAGGCTCAGGCAACCTGAGGGTCACATCTGACCAAGAGTCACAGAGAAGATACCAAGAGCTGATGCGCACACAAACGATAAAAGGGCCCCATGGGATGTGAAGGGGGCGTGCGCACTGCTGGCCACACCTCCCATATGTGCCGGAGGCTTCCAGCTCTCTCTTAAAGATCAGATGTGAATGCGTAACTGTCCATTTTACGTCCTGGTTGCCCCCTGTCTCACCCTGATGATCCCTCCCCCACTCCCACTGCTCTCCTCCTGAAGCGCTGAACTCACCCCCCAGAGCCCAGGTTCACACGCTCATCCGAGGTGGACACCTAGGAGTCGTCCAGCTCCTCCCCTTCCTCACTCCCCCCACCCCCAGGGGGGGTCAAGCCTTCACCAGGAACTTACCTCGTAAGTCTTTCTCAGTCTGGCCCTTCTCCACCCCTAATACCACTGTCTCTCTGTTTAGAACTTAATGGCTTGCGCATCAATCCAATGGCCTCCGAATTGTTTTTTCTGCCTCTAATCTTACCCTGTCAAATCCATCCTTCCTCACTGCCGCTGAGGAGCTGTACTTAAATTACCTTGCGATTCTCCTCCCCTCCTTGCTTAAAACTCTCCAAAAGCTTCCCTTCACCTCCAGGAAAAACTTCAAGCTCCTTAATACGGTAGGCAAGGTCCTGCACACCGTCGCTCCTGTTTTTCCGGTCTCTTCTCTTACCATTCTTTGCTTCACCCTCTACCCACCCCAAATAGTTCATAGAACCCTTCTGTGTTAGTTTGCCCCAGCTGCCGTAACAAAATACCATGGACTGGTATGTGACTTAAACAACAGAAGTTTATTTTCACACAGTTGTAGAGGCCAGAAGTCCAAGATCGAGGTGTCAGCAGGTTTGGTTTCTTCTGAGGCCATTCCCCTTGGCTGGCAGACGGTCACCTTCTCACTGGGTCCTCACCCGGTCTTTTCTCTGTGTGCCTACACTGCTATTGTCTCTTTGTAGGTCCTAATCTCTTCTTAGGGTACCAGCCAGATTGGATTAAGGTCCAACCTGATGGCCTCATTTTAGCTTAACTACTTCTTAAAGAAGGCCTTATCTCTGAATGCAGTCACACTTTGAGATACTGGGGGTTAGAACTCCAACATAAAAATTTTGGAGAGATATAATTCAACCCATAACACCTAACATCTGCCTGTTCTTTCTTACCTCCTTGCCTGTTTTTCGTGTTGTCTTTATTTAGAATATCTTTCCCTTGTTGCATGACTCCAAATCATTCTGACTCAGCACAGGTATCATGGCCCACAGGTATTCCGGAGGTCTCAGGCCCTGCCCTGACAATGTAAGCTCCCTCCTCTCTACCCACTAAAGGCTCTGATTGTATCACCTTCCCTGGTCTTACTACATTATTTGATAATTATATTTAGAATGAGCTATATTAAATTGCCAATATTTGACCATTTTTACCTCAAAACCAGCAATTTCATATGGTCCAATCTGAAACATCTCTCTTCTGACCCATCAACCTTTTGAACCTAGGGACTCTGTCTTCTCTACCTGTATACACCACAGTGCTTGGCACTGAGTGGCTACTGAATAAATACCGAAGAAATGAATGCCACAGACAACATGATCTCTGTCCTGGAATTTCCTTATGTAGTGTTTGGAGAGTTGAAATACTTGTCACAAGACCAATAGACAAATCCACAGAATTCGAAGAGTTTCATGTTGGTAAGCTTAGTTAGAAAGGGCCGCTGGGAAGATGTGAGGCTAGGGGGAAAGATAGAAAGGATGGTATTGAGGCTGGTAAAGAGGTGATGGGAGGGGAACTCAGTGAGGGAAGCCTGGCAGGCATGAACAGTGAACTGACTGTGGAAATGGCCCTTAGGTGAAAATGGGTTTATCTGTGAGGCTGAAGGTAGGCCAGGGAAGGTCAGGCTAAGGGATGGAGTTCCTGAGATGCCAAAGTCAAGAGTTTGCATGTGAC